CACTTGGAGCCATCGCTAGTATATCTTAATTGCTCAATAAGTATTAAATACTTTAACAATCATTAAAGCTTCATTGTTCCAGAGTCACGAAGAGGACAAGCTTTCTGCTCAGTGCCAGCATCCTGTCAGGACAGGCTGTGTCATGACACCCACACTCAGGATCTGTTTCCAGGGGAGATACCCAGGGTGGTTTTCTTCTCTGCAAGATTTCTGATGCCTTTTTTCTTATACAAGAGGAGGTCCTACACTGGGCCTGAGAATTTCCAAGGCCAGCCCTGAGGATCATGACACCCTATTTTAGTCCTTGGTTGGCTTCCTCCAACCCCATGTCCACCCTAGAGAAGACTATCTGCAGGGGAAAGGGAGGGCAGTGCAACCTCAGGTGGGAACTCTGTACCTGTTGCCTTCCCGCAGTGCCTTGTCTGTTCCAGACCATGGTGGGTTTCCTTTGCTCATGACATCCTGTGCCCTGAACTGTCCCATCTGGGGCTCAGCAGCTCAGCTGGTCCTCCTCATGGGGAGTGTTCCCCAGATCTGCTGCCCTCACTCGGGTCCCGTCAGGCATTGTCCCAGCATCCTTCTCTAGGGTTCGTTCAGGCTGCTGCATTCGTGGTGCAGACCAGGTCTTGTGGAAGTGACTCAATTGGCATTTACTGACCAACTGTCCTGTTCTAGGGATTGAGATCTATAGTCATGGCCACATTCATCCCCTCAACCAACGTGTAGGTAGGAACTGAAATCCCCATTCCACAGACTAAGAAGTAGAATGTTAGTGAGTTGAAATAATTTTTCTTTCATGGGATATATCTGACATTAGGTGGACCCAGTTGTGGAACAAGCTGAGATTTTTTGAGTTTGTTTTAATAATCTGCTTTTTTGAGGGTTACTTTAGATACAGTAAAATTCTCTAATTTTAAGTACAGTGGATGAGTGGTTACAAATTTATACAGTCAAGACCCCATCATCAAATGAATATATGAACATTTTACCTCATCCCAAAATGTAGAAGCTGTTTCTTTATCTTTCAGAATTTTAATGAAATTCAAGCAGAGGACCTAAATTTTTTCACATTTGCCTCATGATCATATTATAATAATTTATTGCTAACTAATTGTTTTGTTTGAGACAGGGTGTCACTCTGTGGCCCTGGCTAGAGTGCAGTGGTGTCAGCTCTCAGAAACCTCAAATTCCTGGGCTCAGGAGATCCTCTGCCTCAGCCTCCCGAGTAGCTGGGACTATAGGCATGCACCAACACACCCACATAATTTTTCTACTTTTTTGTAGAGATGGGATCTCGCTCTTGCTCAGGCTGGCCAAAAACTCCTTACCTCAAGCCATCCTCCCATTTAAGTCTCCCAAAGTGCTAGGATTATAGGTGTGAACCACCACACCCACTACTAGCTAATTTAAACCACTTTTTTAGTTCTCAGTTTCTGTTTCTACATGATATTAATCCCACAGATGTTAACAGCATGATTGAAACCAACCAGTGTTTGCAGTATTTTCCACTTATCCCCTAGAAATGAAAGTTTTCTCTAGTTTCCATCTGTTAATTATCTTGGAAGGGATATTCAGTGTTTTTCAAAATTTATAATGAAAAATATTTAAATTGTAAAATAACTACAGAGAATATATAATAATATATATATAATAAATCTCTCTATTCTTTTCATGCACCTTAACACTTTGCTCTTCTTCTTTCATCCAAACCCCGTCATCACCCAATGCTTTCTATTTTCATGCTAGAGTATGGGGAAGCCCATCCCCCATATCATTTTATCTACAAATACTCGGGCATATTTCTCTGACTGAAGACTATTTTGTTATTATTGTTTTACTTTTCAACATAACCGCAGTACCATTATCACAATCAACAAAATTAGCAATTTCTTCATTTTACCCGTTAACCAGTTCATGTAGAGATTTTCCGGGTCTCAAATATGTCTATTAGAGTTCAGATTCCATCCTCCAGCTCATTCGGATCAGAAGCATGAGAGGAGAAAGATCTAGAGTTCAGTGCAGCACTGTTCACTGTCCCTTTCAGTCCTCTCACTTCTTCTCTTTTGTGATCTTGGTAAAGGCTGAAGCTTCTACACTTTGGCAAACTTCTCGTCTATTCCTTACGTGCTGAGTCTTGCTGATTCTGTCTTTGCCACACCTTTTCTCTCCTCTCCCTCTCCTACCTTCCAGGCTCTTCTCCACATTCTCCTTCTTTACTGTCTTTGGAGCTCTGCCCATGAGGACAAATAATGATCAGGCCAGTCACCTGATTGTGCCGCAACTATAATCAGGAATATGGATTCTGGAATGGCCGTGTGAGGAGCTATATGGACTCTCTAGCAAAACTCCATAACTGGTAAATTAGAAGAAAAAAAGAAAAACCAAAACAACAATTTGAATTGCATGCAATTTGCCTTAAGACCATTCAGAAATTTAGAGAAACATTTCTTTAAAAGAATCAACTGAGTCTTTGTGAGAACAGTGAGGGTCTATGACATTTGTCCCACTTAACACTACCCCCACCAACTGTTTCACTGCAGCAGAAACTCCACCATGGGTGGTGGAAAGGGCAAGATGGAGCTCCCTCTTTCTCCAGTTCTCAGTTTGGAGTGACTGTTTCTCCCTGAGAGGGGCAGGATACCACTCTTGTTACCTCCTCTCCCCCTGCCAGCCCTGTGTTCCTGATGTTCTATTTCAAGTAAGCACAGTTGAGAAGTCTGGGTATGGATGTCTTTGAATTCATCCTTCATGAAGTTTGTTGTTCACTGGAATGGAACTTCTCCAACTATCACCATTCTGTGGGTGTATTAGCCACATCCTTCCCAAACACTTGGTTGATATTTTGAGCTGTCTGTGCAGCATTGGTTCCATGACAGAACTCACATTAAAAATAACAAGAATTTTAGGACTGTCCTGTTTCCATGCTTTGGGCAGTTGGCTCTTTTCCTTGTTGCAGAGGTGGAAGATGTGGATTCAAGGCTCTCAAACTGCGCAGGGCTGGTGACTGTGGCCGCTGTCTGGAGCTTTGAGACGGTGGAGGGGACATCGGTCTGGTCAGGTGGGAGACTCACACTTCCCACTCTGGTGAAAGACAGACACGGTTCTCACTCAAGCCAAAGAGGCTTCTGGTGCCCTGGAGTGGAGGGCGGGGTGGTGCAGGATATGCGCATACTTCGATTAAGTGTCCTGCTTCTTGTGTGAGATATAATAAACTAAACTTTGATTCAAAATTGGACATTTCCTATTTAATGACCTAATATATAATTCACATCCTTTCATGTCCCATCTGTGCTGTCTTTACCTACTCCAAAGTCACAAAGATATTCTGCTACAGTAGAGATGGCCACTGGCCTCTTAATGGAAGGGACACAGTGGTGCTCATCTGTGCCCCTCCTGCAGCATCTGGAATAATTCCTGCACTTACAAGAGGCTCAGAAACCGTTAGTTGGGTAGATGGATCCTGTGGAGAGATGGATGTCAGGTTCCTTCAATCTTGCCCTTTGTTCCTGGGAGGGACGGACATTCTACCAGGCTCCTTCCCCTCCCAGCCCACATTGTCATCCTTGTCAGTCTTGAGGTTTCCCCATTGTTCTGCTGTGAGTTCCTTCCAGCTCGGAGCAGTGGGTCTGGTCAGCTTTTGAGGTTAGGCATCCTGTGAGTAGCATTACTGTGGCACAGTGAGCCGTCCTCTGCCACATCTGCCCAGAGCCATTTGCCACATGAGTGCTGTTTGCCATGTCCATCACCATCATCATAATGTTCATATTTCTCTTGTGTTGGGGGTGGTGACGGAGGTCTGTACCCAATTGGGTAGACTCCTCTTGCTCTGGGAGTGAGAAGTCCTCTTTTCTGACTCTCTGGTCTTGGGGTGGAAAGGATTCCCCCAGGAGTGGTTGTGACTTCTCCCCTTTCTCTGGTAATTGCTGGGGTCAGTGCATCTCTTGTACCCAAGGTGGGTTTCCCTTCAACCACTGGAACACCTGCAGCTTCTGAACCACCACTGATACATGGTAATTACTGCAGCTGTGCGTGCCTGACCACATCATTATAGTAAGGGACAAGAAACTTTTCGAGTTCTCCCAAAGCGTGTCCCATCCAGATCTCAGCTTCTGCAGGTAAGCAAACACTTCAGTGAGAGAACTTGGAGATCATTGTTGAGGTGGAAGTACTTTGCTTCTCCACTTTTCCTCAACTCTTCCCCCTTCACCTTGTCTCTCATGGAACTTTTTCCAAGGATGGACATTTTCAAGTTTTCTTCTGGTAAACATTTCAGAGACTTGCCACATGGACCCAAAAGTTTGCCCATAAAGTTGGCCTTGGGGAACTGTTTTACAGAAATCAACACTTCTGACCCAGCTTGTTCTTGTTAATCACCATGCCGACGTACTTTTCTTCACCTTTGTCTTCTCCTTTCTGACACCAGCCACTGAGCATGCTTGAAGGAGGGGTCCAGGGAGTCCTTCGGGCCGTCGGCTTTCGCAGGTACTTCTCTGAGCTCACTGGCTGCCCGAGGCTGGGACTCGAGGAGAGCCAGCAGCAGCGGCCCAGCAACGTCCCACCTGCGCAGGCCAGCAGCAGAGGGACAGGGCCAGATGCCACAGCTGCTGCCAAAGTTGGCACTCAGCCAGGCAGATGCGAGGGCACAGAGGTGGGGACCGGCCAATCAGCCTCGATCTCCAGTGAAGCTGAGGGCCCAGCGCTGCAGCCCCACCTCCCCCTGCCCTCACCGCGGGACGAGGAGGAGCGGGAGCTGGCTGCATGCTCAGTCGGGGGGCTGCCGGCCCATAGGCCAGGCCGGCGGTGCGCTTGGTGACACTGATGTAGCCCAGGGCGAGCCCCGTCAGCACCCGCAGGAGCCCGAGCTGCAGCTGCAGGTGCACGACTTGCGGGCTCTGGGGGTTGGAGCAGCCCCGAATACACTGCCGCGCTCGGGGAGAGTGTCACTGAGTGTTCCTCCGCCACCGTTTGTGTGCATGCGCAGTGACGTTGAGCTTTGCTTTAACGGCATCGCTTGGCTGTGCTTGGCAGTGCCTGGCCGTGCTTGGCAGTGCCTGGCGATTTACTACTGTCAGTCATTGGAATCCCTGATTTCCCGTGTTGGAGGTTGTGGTCAGACCTAGTTGTCTTGGTTGCACTTCCCAGGCCGGCAGGAGGCATTGGGTGGGGGGAGTTTGGGGGCGTTGGGGGAGATGAGTTGAGGTGAAGCCAGCAACCGCCACCATGTGGAAGATCTTTTGCTGCGGGAGAAAGTCAGAGGCGACGTCGCCCTCGGGCGCCCTCACCAGCAGCGCCCAGACCAGGCCGCCGCAGGTGGACGCGGCTGGCGACGGCGCCTTCCAGGAGCAGTGGTACGACATCCGAGACAAGGATCTCGGAAAGCTGCACAGAGCTGCCAGCCTAGGCGACGCCTCCAAGGTGCAGCGGATCCTTTCACGGAAGAAAAGCGTCTTAGATGCTAAAGATAAGAAGAACAGGTGATGGGAACGGCGGTCCCCGGCCCGGTGCCCGGCAGGTGTGGGGAAGCGCCCTTCCAGGCTGGCGCAGCCCGGGCTCCTGTGGGCGAGGGCGCTGGCTGTCCTCCCTGCGGGCTCCGCAGCCCCGCGACGGGGACACCTGCAGGGGTCCGGCGCCACGGCCGTCTGTGTGGGCAGCGGCACAAAAACAAAACTTCAGCGGGTTCCCCGTCTATTCTAGAACATTTTATTGACAATTTTAACTATTTAACAAAAATTTAACTAACACAATTAAGTATATATGGTATTCTTATTTTTAATTATGTACATTATGGAAAGGTACATTATGAGAGGAATAATTCACATATCAAATTCTGGGCTAAAACATCTTTCAATAAAATCCAATATTCATTTTATATCAATGTACGCCTATGTAAATGTGTCCTCTACTCGGGGAACTTAGAAGGAAACTTTGAAGTGGGTAAATGGTACCATAGTCTTCAAAAGATTCGTTTTTCTGGAAATGTGAGCTCTTTTTGTTATTTATCAAGTTTGTATAAGCTCAGTAAAAATATCAAGGCTTTCAAATTTTTGAGTTACATATGATATCCATCTTTTACTATTGTGATGACGTTAAGAAAATTTTTGTAATGGAGTGAACGAGGACTTGCCCTTCTAGATATCAAAATGTGCTGTTAATTTCCACAAATTATTTGTTAACAGTTGAAGAGACAGAGAAATGAATGGAATCGATTAGAAAATCCACAAACACACAAATACATGTAAGCATGTAGAACTTGATCATGCTGACATTTCATATTAGTAGGCAAAGATAAATTATGGCTAACTGCAATGCCTGTTAACTGTTTTGACAAAACTAGCTAGATTTTTTATTTATTTATTTTTTTATTTTATTTATTTTTTTCTTTTTTTATTCATGGAGGCTGCATGTGCCCTACTGGACTAGCTAGATTTTTGTCACAAAAATAATTGCCTGATGGACTATAGATTTCAACATAGAAATATACCAAATGAGAAAAATAACAGACGAGAAAACAAATGCCTATTTTTTACAGGTACATTTTTATGTTGGCAGAGACATTCCTAAGAATGATTTCACAAGCAAGCATTCTGAAGGTTGACATAGCAGAATAAAAATTTAAACCCTCTTTATATCATTAAAATATTAACAAAATAAAAGACAACGTATTTGCCACATATTTACTCTCTCTCTCTCTGTATATATGTGTACACACACACACACACACACGTCAGCTGAGGAATATATCTTCATTTTTCAGATAAGTCTTTCAAATCAACAAGACAAAAACTGACCTCTAATTTAAAATTGGGCCAAGTACTTTTTTTGCAGATTTGCAAGTGACTTATGCACATAGGAAAAATATTTAGTGTCCTTGGTAAGAAAGGGAATTTAAGTTAAAAGAGGAATGAGGTACTGTCATTCATCTACAAAGTTTGTAAACATTAAGGCCGGGAATACTTATTCTCGTACTTACAGTTTTAAGTTGCTGAAGTCTTATCTGTGGTTTCTGCAATGAGTATGTATACAAGTTCCAGTAAAATTTATTATTTAATTAAACAATCCCTGGAAAGAGCAGGACTATGAATCTTGCACAGATAGAAATAGTTTTTTACTTTCTATTGTTTTAAAATGTTTTTAAAACAATAGAAATCTTCTTCTGCCAACTTTTAGTTGTCAGAAGTAAAGAGAATCTTTTTATCTATGCTTAAAGATTTTATTATATATACAGTTTATTATATACATGTTTTATGATATACAGATTTATTGCATATTTGCAGAAGTTATACATTAATCATTGTGTTTTAGTCATATCATTATGAGAATGTAGCAAATATAAACGATTGTTACTATTGCAAAAATATTGCTTTACTTCATAAGAGTTTTTTTTTTTTTTTTTTTTTTTTTTGAGACAGAGTCTCGCTTTGTTGCCCAGGCTAGAGTGAGTGCCGTGGCGTCAGCCTAGCTCACAGCAACCTCAAACTCCTGGGCTCAAGTGATCCTTCTGCCTCAGCCTCCCGGGTAGCTGGGACTACAGGCATGCGCCACCATGCCCGGCTAATTTTTATATATATATATCAGTTGGCCAATTAATTTCTTTCTATTTATAGTAGAGACGGGGTCTCGCTCTTGCTCAGGCTGGTTTTGAACTCCTGACCTTGAGCAATCCGCCCGCCTCGGCCTCCCAAGAGCTAGGATTACAGGCGTGAGCCACAGCGCCCGGCCCATAAGAGTTTTTTAAAAACAATATTGAACTCTTCAACTCTATGCATTTTTTCAGTCCATTTATTCATCAGACATAACCTAAATGATTATGTAGCAAATGTTTTCCACTATTTCTCAGGACCCATCCATCCTTAAACACTTTCTGTTTACCTGTCCAGCCTGCGCAAGTTGGGAGATTTTAAATTAGAGTTTTAAGACTTAATCTCGAGTAAAGCTTTTCCTCCCTCCTTTCAAACAAATGCATTTCTGAAGGTAGGAAAATGTAAAAAATGAGCGTTAACTGCCCTTTTAAAATTTATAATAGTATTAAGTACTAATATTAAACATTGGAAATACCTGATTTTCATGCATTGTATAACTCCACATATTGAAAAAAATGAGACAAACCTATTCACTTGAACCCTGACTTAGCTTTAAAGTTTTTTAAAAAATCAAAGTATCAATTACTTGGCTTAAAAAATTTTGTTATTAATATTTTAACCTTTCTTTTCTATAGTACTTTTAAGAACCGAAATTTATTTGCATGTCAGTCATTTGACTAAAACTGCCATACACCTGCTGTATATAATATATATCACTTAACGTAAGGCACGGCGGGTTGTGTGAAGATGCCCCATTATTTTATTTATCAATAAGATAATTTTTAAATGCTGCCCATTATAGTTGAAATAAATCATGAATAAAAAGTGCCATTCTGTAATCAGTGATGTTAAAATGTGAGAAAATGAGCACCCTAGCATCACTGAAATATGTTATCTCTAATCTTCAAAGCAAAGCATGAAGCATGTACCACTGTATCATTTTAGTTAATTAGTGTTGTCTTTGTTAAGTAGTAGTAATAGCAATAATTATGCCAGCAGTCATTGAGCTGTTATTTGCAGTAGGAACTGTCGTAAAAACTTTGTATGGATTCTCATTTAAGCAACACAGTGGTGTCCTGCGAGATAGCTACTGTTTTTATGCCTATTCTACTGAAGAGGACATTGAGGCACAGAAAGGATAAGTGGTAGCCAGTAATTGGTAGAGCTTAAAGTAGGATTCAAAGCCAAGTTGACTCTAAAGGCCAGCCCCTTTTTACTCAAATAGGCTGCTCTTTCCTTAATGTAGTGAGATAATAAATACTGTACTCTGTTCACAAGACAATTAAATATTGTTTTGAAGGTAGAGAGATAACATGCTATTTGATGCTTATGGTTCCATGAATCATTGTATGCCTTGAGGTAGTGCACTTCAATATTTCCTAAATATTTTTCTCACTTTCATAGGACTGCTCTCCATTTGGCCTGTGCCAATGGCCATTCGGAAGTGGTTACTATCCTTGTGAACAGCCTGTGCGACATTAACGTCTGTGACAGCACAAAGACAACACCCCTGATGAAGGTATATAGCAGCCAGCTATTTCAGCATGGGAAGGATTTGGCTTCAGTTACAGAGACGCAAAATAAATTCATCTCATTTCAACATAACTGGTTGGTGAAATCTGTGAAATGTTTATTTCGAATCCCTAGAATTTATGATGTATTTCTTGATCTAATACTGACAGGCAGTGCAGTGTCATAAAGGAGAGTGCACAAGCATCCTTCTTAAATACGGCGCTGACCCAAATCGTACTGACATCTACGGCAACACCGCTCTTCACCATGTTGCGTATCATCAGGATGTGTCGCTAGCGGCAAAGCTCCTCTCATATGGCGCAAATTTGGAAGCATTAAACAAGGTATAGATCAAGCACCTTTATTTTCAAAATATATGAAATGCATCTGTTTTAACATTGACATATGTAACCGCCAATTTTCCATATTTGGAAGCTCAAGCATTCTGTCAATGAAAATATTTTGAAATAGTTTAATTGTGTAAGATTTTACCTTCAATATTGATACATTTAAAGAAGCATTAGAGGATACATTTTCTTTTATACATTCATGATAAATATTTGTGAAAACACTGCATTTGTTAAAGGAAAAACATTTTTTGAAGTTGTTTTTTTTTTTTCTACTAATTGGGAAATTAGGTATTTGAGAGAAAATACCAAGAGGAGGTGTGTGTGTGTGTGTGGGTGTATTTTTTCCAAGTTTATATATTTAGACCAGGTGCTCTTTAGTTTTGGGGAAAACAATTATCATTTTGGAAAAGAGAATTAGCAAGTTGTAAACTTGCCTAGGAATCAATTTTAGGAGGACTCTGAGGAAACACAATTGGCAGGGAATAGGTGGTGATGATCCAGGAAAAACTTCAGAAGAGGGAAAAATAAATAATTAACGGAGTTAATATCCCATTCTTGCAGAAAGAGCCACTTAGATAAGAGTCTATTAGAATGTCTTGATAGGAAAGTGGGAGATGAGGAGCTTATAAATAGCAAAACCAAGTTGCATTTTGATTTATCGGTCCCTGTTCTAACCTTACACAGGAAAATTAAATGGAGTTTTTAGTAATGACTCCATCTCTTACTATTTCCTGTTTTTGGCTACATCTGCCAATGGTAGAGGGACTTGGCCATGTGAGAGAGAAATGACACTGAAGTGACTGTCTACCCCACTGGTTCTCAGCTACAGTAGTGCATCACGGTGACCGGGAAAAACTGTTTTAAATGTGTACGTCTAGGCTCTCCCCTGAAGGTTTTGATTTAGTAAATATAATAGGGTGTGGACATGTATGTCTTATTTCCCCAAAGTTGGATGAGGTAGTGTGTACTACTTGTCCCAGCTACTCTGGAGGGTTGAGGCAAGAGGATCACTTGAGCCCAGGACTTCAAGTCCATCCCGGGCAACATAGTGAGACCCTCTCTCTAAATAATACATTTTTTTTTTCCTCGAGATTCTGAAGCACTCCTAGTTAAGAAACCACTGAATATATAAATATAATGTTTACGTTTTTTGTATTTCAAAAACTTAAGAAATCTCCAGAAGAGGGGGAGTTTGATAGTTGCTGCTACTTTCAAATATTTCCTTTCCAATAATATTAGCCTGCTGTTATCTGTTTTTCTCTAACTCTGTGTTTGAGAAATTAAAAGGAATATTATTGACAATATTTATCAGCTTACAGATTAACACCTTTTTCCTTCTCTCCATCACTCATTGCCATTCAGAAGGTCTTTAGAAGTTTGCTTATGGACAGTCTTTCAGCAGGTAGAGGTGGACCCTTTCAGGATTTCATGCCTCTTTGTTACCAGTTAGGTGATTACTTCAATCAGTGTTTACTACAAGCAGGGTTTTCTCAATTAGAATAGTAGCATATCTTGAATTTTTTATTCAGGTACAGCTGTATTATAGAGTATCTCAGTATGTCTGTTAAGTTCATAGAACCTTGGCATGATTAGGATGGCAGTACTAGTCCCAGCTACTCTGGAGGGTTGAGGCAAGAGGATCACTTGAGCCCAGGACTTCAAGTCCATCCTGGGCAACATAGTGAGATCCTCTCTCTAAATAATACATTTTTTTTTCCTCGAGACTCTGATGCACTCCTAGTTAAGAAACCACTGAATATATAAATACATTTAAACTCTAAACATACTTTTAAACTCTAAAAACCATGAAATTTGTAAGAACATACATAGGAATTATTTTAATAATTTATTTTTAGAAGTTCTGTGAATTAGTTAAACATTTGGGAGCAATAAATATAGGCAGAGTATAAATGAATAGTTGTTTGAAAAATTCTTGAAGTGGGTTTTATGAGTCTTAATAGCAATTTTTATTGCACGTTGTGGCCTGATATTTTGGTAAAACCTATGATACTAAAGAAAGGAAAGATTTCACATGCAAGTATTTGCTGTATATGCAATTAGATTGAAATGTTCATAGCAAACATTAGAAACACAGGGCTATAGTTTATATGCAGCCCATAAATCAGTTTAGTTTGCCTTTGTAAATTGAGTCCACATGTAAAATTTAGAAGACATGCAGGAAACTGGATTTCAGGCTTCCTTTAAAGAATCAAATCTGGTGTCCCCTGAGCTCATATTATTGTTTTATGTGCCAAACAACGGTTCCCCCTTTATATGAGGCGTGTGCTTTCTAGTTTGCTACTGTGCCTATCTAGGTATTTCAAATGCACACATCACCTACTTGACCTCATTAAGCATTTGAGTATACAACTCAGTTTTATAGTATATTCTGTAATGATTTCAAGGTTTTCAAGACATTTTATGCTTATTTATAATATAACATCTATATTATACATTAATCTATTATCAACATGGTTGAATTTGAGAATTTAGAAGTTTTTTTAAAAACTTCTTTTTGAGACAGAGTCTCACTTTGTTGCCCAGGCTAGCGTGCCGTGGCATCAGCCTAGCTCACAGCAACCTCAAACTCCCTCTGCTTCCTGAGTAGCTGGGACTACAGGCACACACCATGATGCCTGGCTAATTTTTCTGTTTTTAGTAGAGATGGGGTCTCGCTCTTGCTCAGTCTGGAGAAACCCTTTTTCTTTACATATACCATAAATAATCATATTCCCATTAGAATGCCTATAAGATTTTTAGGTTACTCATGATTATACTTGGCTAGGTTATGTATAATGAAGGCAACATTGTATCTTTTTCCTCAGCATAGACCCTTTAAAATGCAAATGATTTAGTGGCTTTTATTATACTAGAAAAAAAATTCATGATAGATCAATATTAAAACTTTTATGGATAAGCCATTATATTTTCATTTCTGATTTCTATTTTGCCTAAAATAAAAAAAACTTTAAGTAGCAATTAAAATGGAAACCAGAATAAGAGTGGATTAAAATAATGCAAATATTATTAGCATCCCAGGATTATCATTGTAACTGAGAATAAAATTGTATACTGAGCTTTCTAACAGCCAAGATAAAAATCTATCATCTTGCCATAGGAGAAACCACATGGACCATTTAATAGTAAGGAATTGGAGTTCGTTTGAAGCCTATCTCTTATAGTTCAGAGCCCATTTCCTTAGTGACCATTTGGAGAAGGAGCTTGTGACATCAGCACCTGGGATCCTGTCACCATTGATAGAAGAGAATCAAGCAACTTTGCATATCACCTGGGGAAAACCTCCACATTTTTGGGAAAGCTCTCAAAACTGCATCCCTGAAGCTCTACTTCCTCACATGTTGTCTGCCACAAAATGCATTGTTATATGTTATATCAGGATTAGGGAAAGTTCAAGAGATTTTCCTTTTCTTTTTCTTTTTTTTTTTTTTTTTTTGAGACAGGGTCTCACTCTGTTGCCTGGTCACATGGCAACCTCAAACTCCTGGGCTCGAGTAGCTGGGACTACAGGTGCTTGCCCTGCTAACTTTTTGTTTCTATTTTTAGTTGCCTGGCTAATTTTTTATATTTTTAGTAGAGATGGGGTCTTGCTCTTGCTCAGGCTAGTCTCAAACTCCTAACCTCAAGCGATTCTCCCGCCTTGGCCTCTCCGAGTGCTACAATTACAGGTGGGAGGCACCACACCTGACCAAGAGATTTCTTTAATACTGAACTTATACTGCACAGTTTTACACTATTTCTCTAACATATATGGTCATGGAGTCTTTCCACTGGGGTACAGTCTTTAACTTCTGATAAACTTAATACTCTTTGGAATATTGTTTAAGAAATATTGCTGTAGATATAATAATCTATAGTATTAATTCAATAAAAATACTTGAAGCATTTGCTACTATGTCTTAGCATTTAGAAATTTGGAGATAGAAGATATAGCCCCTACCCTCGAGAAGCTCTTGGTTTAGACAGGAAAAATAAAACAACTACAGTATACTAATAAATGTTGAGACATAAGCAACAGTTCTTGAAACCCATAAACGATTGAAGTGAGTTTTGGAGATGGCAGGAGTTAGCGTGGAGAGGCAGAGGAGGAGAATGGCTAAGGGAAGGAGTGGCACATGGGAAAGCATAGAGGGGAGAGAGGATGAAACCACCTTTCATTTCCTTTCTGTATTTTACATTTAAGTTCATAGGATCTTGTATAAGATTTCCAGGTCAGTTGAGAAATACGTAATTTTGTGAATGATAAATTGATTTTGCTGTATTATAGGATCACCTTACTCCACTTTTACTTGCTGTAAGAAGAACAAATGACGAAATGGTGAAATTTTTAGTAGAGCAGAATGCAAATATAAATGCAGTAGATAAGATGGAAAGGTACAGTATTCAGTTCTTTTTTAAAAATATGAATGTTATTTTAGAATAGTAAGAATCACTTACTTTAATATATTAAATGAATAAGAAGATTAACTTATACATTTTAGGATATAGTGAGAAATACCAACACAAATCATCAGTTGGGTAGAAAAGCAATTATTTGGACTGGGCAACCTAAAGAACGTTATATAGTAGGATTCATCATCTCTTATAATATTGACTGATGTTTGTTATTTGTAATAGTATGTTTTTGGTCATGTGATCTTATATCACGTAAAGGGATTTCATATTAGTTTTATTAGAGTATGGACTTTACCTTTTAATTCACTTTATGACTCAACATTAAACTTAACTGTTTTATAGTATTTTTAACCTCTGCTGCTTATATCATTTTCCTTTAAAAATGCTACATTAAGTATACATAGGAATTGAAAATCATAAATCATTTTGTCTTCTGGATGACTCTGCTTTAAGTTAGTTTCTTTAAAGAATATTGATGTTAGGTGATCACTAAAGGACTATTAATGGCTATTACCAGATACTGTGGATTCATCGGAGATCTTTTTCCTTTTTCCTTTTTAGTGTACTTTGATGTTTCTTTTTTTAATCAGTATGGGCAGAGGGAAGAAAGGTAACTTTAACTGGATAAACTTTTTCTTTAATGAAGACAAGCCATAGGTGGGTGATAAAGAGAAAAGAGAGGCTTTAGATTCACATAAGACTTGGGTTTAATTCCTAGCTTTACACACTTGCTAGGTGTGTGACCTTGGGAACAGTACTTTTCAAATGTTTTCTAATATGAATAGGAAGATAATAATATATCCTTCTAGGGTGGTTGTATGTAGGATTATAGATGGAACATTTAAATCATTGCTTAGCATGTGCTTATTAGCATCATTAACTACTGAAACTACTATGACTACTGTTATTACCATTATGAATGATGTTCTTATTTTAAGGCTATAGATAGCTTTTACTTATCTGACCCTCAGTTGACCTTCAATTGTAGTACATCAGAATAGGGAAGACATGGAGAATTCTTCATTTGCTACTTTACCTACTTTAGGTAAATGATCTCAGCAAAGAATTAGCAACCTCTATTATATCATACCCTAGTTGGACAGGAGGTTTCCTTTTGTCTCTTCCTTTTAACCTTGATGTTAAGTTACAAAGATTAACACTTGAGCACCCAAGATGCTTGTTTCAGTTAGTACATGTAAATGGTTAATTCTACGCTGAAAGGTAAAATACTCCTTTGGTAATGTGTATAAAATTTGCATTTTAAATAAGTTTATTAAAGTTCCTAAGGGTGAAATTATCTTTCTGTTATTTTAGAACGGCCCTCATGCTTGCTGTACATACTGGATCACCAAAGATAGTCAGCCTTCTTCTTCGGGATGATACTTTCTTAGGATATCTTTGGGTGGACTGCAGACAGTCACGCCGCTGATAGTAGTTTTAAGATGTAATTGTTTACAATAAAAGTCTAGTTAACAATGAATTGCAGTTTAAAATAATTTCAACTACTGTCTGTATCTTATACATCAGGTGAGATTTCATAGTGTGGTTCAGGTAGCGTTGGAATGGTGGTGAGTTAGTCCACTTCATCAGCCAGAAATCAATCCAAAGGCCAAACTAGGTAGAAGGAGCAAAGGGTAAAAGATTCTTTATTTCAGGACTTTTAAGACCTTTATTCTCAGGGATGCCAATGTTGTCAAGTTCATTCCAAGTGTAACCTCTGCATGGGGCAAAAATTGTGTCACATGTTTGATTCTTCTAATTAGTTATTTGGGTCTTGAAATGTCCAGCTAACAGACAATGTTGTAGTCCCCTGGGAACTATCTCCTGTACACTTTTCCTTGAAATTTTCCAGAAACTAAGGGGTTTCCTATGTACAAAGAAGACAGTTCTTTTTAGAAGTCAGAAGAGGGTAATGAAAAGATGTTTCAGTTATTCTGTTGTTGCATTATTGCCATTGAAACTTATCCTGCTGTCTGGAAATTATTGACCCTTGCTACCAGGATGCCCTTACTGAATTAGATTCCTGAGTCTTCAAGGTGACCCACATCTAGACTTCAAAGTCTCAATTTTTTTGAGTTCACCTACGTCTGCTTATATACTCAGCCAGTCTTCCCAAAATACCAGCACCCTGCTCTGGTGGCTAGGCCTCCCAGCTATAGTCACACGCTCAGTGAGAACATTGCCCCCCACCCCCATACTCAAAACCTTATGTGGAGCTCTCATCTTAGCCTAGACCTGTATGGTAAGTTATTCTTTGATATTCTTGTTTGTCTTTTCTTTGGCAAATAGTTGGGATTGTTCTAAACTGTCAGAGAGTTTCAAATATTGTTACAGGAAGAGATCAGAGTTTCCTTTCTTCTCTGCTACCAGATCTGTATGCCAACGTCCCTTTATGTCCTGTGCAGTACCCTTTTCTTAGGTTTTAGAAAGTCACATATGATTCTTCTGCAGAGTAATGGTCACCAACTTGTGAATGGCCCCTCAAGTGATCTGTTTTCCATAACAATGAATATCTACCAAGCTATTTGGATCTGTACCTCAAGTTTTAATAATATTTTCAAATTCTACCTCACAAGGAAGCCATTCAACAGAATTCTTTGAATCTAAAGTAGGTTAGTTGGTTGGCTTAGCACATCTGTTGATAGAACAGTAAATAAATAATAAAGTAGGTTAGTTGGATTTGACAGAGCCAAGCCCTCATCTCTGACTGATCAGTATGCATGTATAAAAGTGGGGCTTTTGATCCTGATAATCAGGGCAAGATGGCAGATGAGAAAAACCACCTGCCAGAGTGTCTCTGCAATAAAGATAGATTTTAGATGAAAGTGAAAAAAATAAATAGGTGGACAAACATAGGTAGGATGAGGGTTGGAAGGAAGGGTACCTGAAACTATAGGAGACACCATGGGAAAACGCTGCAGAGCAGAACTGGAAGGAGAAAGGCATCAGCAGGCTCTAAACCCTGAGAGGCATGGAGACCAGCTACAACGGTAGGTGCAACAGTTAAATTTCCCCTTCCTTGCATCTCAGACTGCTGGTGGGTTCCTGAGCTGCTAGAGAGTCCTGCTAACACCAACCTAGACATGGCTGCACCAGGCTCCCAGCTCCCTTGGGGCACCTCCTGCTCTGCAGATCTGAGTCAATTGGAAGGCGCCATATTGTTTCATTCTCCCCTTCCCCTTCCCTACCCTCCACTGCCAAAAGAGACAATTTAGCCACCACCCGGAGGCATCCACATGGAATGGGACCTTTTATTTTGGGCCCCTACAGTGGACTGGGGGGTACCTGTACTGTGAGCTCCCTACCTGCTGGGTCCTCCTAGGTGCTGCTTGATTGGTGACTCCATCAGAGTGGGGCAGATCCTGAGGCAGAGAGACATTGATCCAGCTTGGGAACCCCATAGGTGGTGACTTAAGACCAGCATTCTTCTCCCTGGCAGGGTTAGGAATTGATCTCTGGGGCCCAGGAGACAGGCCTGCAGGCCAGATCCCATACACCTGGGTCTTTATCTCATTGCCTGGGGGCACAGAAGGGATATTTGTGAACAAGTCTACTGAGGTGTGTGTGCCTTCAGGGGCAGATTGGAGTGGGTTCTGGTTGAAGCATACTTGAAGGGCAACCCTCCTCTCATGGGAAGGCCACACTCCCAGCTCAGTCTGCGATTCTGGGCAGGGAACTTCTTGGCTCACATCACAATCAGGGGAGATCCACTGGCTTGAGGTCCTGCCTACTGGCAGAGTCCCAGGAGAAACTGGGGAATAAGAGAGGGTGGAAAGGAACAAGACCTGCTCCAGACTGTAGATCTCAGACAGCCCTACTCCCATACAGAGACTTTTTGGTTGAGTGGGGCCATTTCAGCCCCTCTCTGGCAGCTTTGCCTAGAAGCAGAGAGCAGAACTTTGAGCCCTGCTAACAGCATTTGTGGAGCTTGAGAGCAGACTCACCCAATCCAGCTCCACCCAGCCTCACTGCCCCACCTGCTCCCACTGAAATGGAGACTAAGGACACACCTGGAAGTCCCAGAGCACCCGTGAAGCCCCTGAAGCACTAGAGTGCCTCTCCAGAGGAATAAGAATTGTTACAGGACCAAAAAACAACACTGCAGCTTGCTCCTCCCAGCAAATGCCACCTACTGACAGGGAGATCAATTTGCACACCCACCCTTTTACTGCATCTACTGTCACATCATTCAGGGTGTGGTCAAATCTCACCTGCAAATACCACCTACTGGCTCAGAGACTAAACTGAGCGTGTAATTATCTAAACAAAAATCTAAAGGTAAGAAGCAACAGCTGGTCCATATGGGAAGGAATCAGCAAAAAATCTCTGGAAATATGAAGAATCAAATGGAAAGCACACCCCCAAAGGGGAACACCAGCTCTCTAGTGATGGATATCAACCAAATTTAGAACACTAAAGTGGCAGAAGAATAATTTCCAACATGGATTGCAAGAAAACTCAATGATATGCAAGAGAAAATGGATACCCAACACAAAGAAACCACACACAAAAAAATCCAGGACTTTGAAGAAAAATTCACAAAAGAAATTGAAATATTAAAGCAAAATCAAACAGAACTTCTAGAAACAAAGAATTTATTTAAGGAATTATAAAACACAGTGGAAAGCCTCAAGGATATGGTATATCAAACAGAAGAAAGAATCTCAGGGATTGAAGATAACACCTTTCAATTTAATAAGTCAGTTGCAGAGATAGAGCAGAGAAATAAGAGAAAAGAGCAAAGCCTACAAGAAATGTGGGATCATGTGAAGAGGTCTACCATGAGAATTATAGCCATCCCTATGGGTGAAGAAGAAAATACATGAAGGTTGAATAAGCTATTTGAGGACATAATGGAGGAAAATGTCCCAGGCCTTGCTAAAACTCTAGATATACAGGTACAAGAAGCTCAAAGGACTCCTGGGAGATTCATGGCAAATAGGAAGATGCCATGACACATAGTCATCAGACTGGCCAAAATAAGCACAAAAGAGGCCCTCCTATAAGCTATAAGGCAAAAGAGGCAGGTAACCTACAAAGGAAAATCCATCAGAATAATAGCATATTTCTCAACTGAGACCCTAAAATCAAGAATAGACTGAGGCCCCATTCTAAGTCTTCTCAAACAGAATAATGCTCAGCCTAGAATCTTATATCCTGCAAAATCGAGTTTATTATATGAAGGAGAAATAAAGACCTCAGACAAGCAAAGACTGAGGGAATTCATCAAGACAAGACCTGCTCTCCAGGAAGTACTTAAAACAGTGTTACACATGGATCAGCACAATAAATACTCACCAGTGTAAAACCATCAAAAAGCTAAAGGTAAAAGGCCAGATACCACAATGGCTCAAGAGTGAAAACAAAGCAGTAAAGTTCAACTAAACGAGATGAACAAAAATCTGCCCCACTTATCAATTCTTTCAATAAATGTGAATGGCTTGAACTGCCCACTAAAAAGACATAGCCTGGCTGAATGCATAAATTTACACAAGCCAAGTATCTGCTGTCTTCAGGAAACACATCTAACCCACAAGGGTGCATTCAGACTCAAGGTGAAGGGATGGATAACAATATTTAAAGCAAATGGAAGCCAAAAGAAAGCTGGCGTGGCAGTTCTGATTTCAGATAACTTAGTCTTCAAATCAAACAAAAGTAATGAAAGACAAAGATGGTCACTATATAATGGTGAAGGGTACTATTCAACAAGAAGACATAACAATTCTAAATATTTATGCACCTATCTCAGGTGCACCCAGATTCATAAAGCAAATCCTACTTGATCTAAACAAAATGATAAACAGCAACATCGTATTAGATGGAGACTCAACACCCCTATGACAGAGTAGGGAAGATCCTCCAAACAGAAAATAAACAAAGAAACAATGGACTTAAACAGTACTCTAGAACAAATGGGCCTGACTGACATTTACAGAACATTCTACCCCCAAACCACTGAATATACATTTTTCTCATCAGCTCATGGGACATTCTCTAAGACTGACCATATCCTAGGCCACAAAGCATGTCTCAACAAATTTAAAAAAAAACAGAAATTACACCATGCATCTTCTTAGACCACAGTGTAATAAAATTAGAAATCAACTCCACCAGAAACTCTCATCGTTACAGAAAGTCATGGAAACTAAACAACCTTATGCTGAATGTGTATTGTGTTAAGGAGGAAATTAAGATGGAAATCAAAATATTGTTTGAACTAAACTATAAAGGAGACAGAAGTTTTATCAAAATCTGTGGGAAATGGCAAAAGCAGTCTTGAGAGGAAAATTTATATCCATAAATGCCTACATCCAAAAGACAGATCACAAATCAAAAATCTAATGAATCATCTCAAGGAACTGGAAAAGGATGAGCAAACCAACCCCAAACCTAGCAGAAGAAAAATAACAAACATCAGAGAAGAACTAAATGAAATCAATAATAAAAAACTATACAGAAGATTAATAAAACAAAGAGTTG